GCTTGGGCAGCATTGGGTTGGGATGTTTTCGTGATGCACACTTTCTTTACATAAAACTCTCTTATACATGAGTTGCTGTGGATTTGTTTCTCTAATGTACCTAGACTAATACACATTCATTCAGTAGTTTACTTATTCAATAAATAATTCAATTCATTTACTTCTGTACACATGCTATGCTTAAGGCAGTGAAGTAGGTATTGAACTGGACAAAAATATCAGTTAAAAAAAACACACAACTGCTTTCCCAAGGCAAGAAATAAACCAAAATCTACAAAGATAAATATAACAAGAAAAGGCAAAATGCTGAGAGTCCCAAGAGGAGAAAGATTCAATTCAAATGCTGACTTCACAAAGGTGAAAGAATTTACCAGGCATTTTGAATGATGGGTTAAACACTGGACTGTTAACAGTTCAAACCCACTAGCTACTCCATGGGAGAAAGATGAAGTTATCTATTCTCAATCATTTACAGCTCTCTATGGATTCACTGTGAGTTTGGAATTGACTTGATCCAGGGGGTGAGTGGGGTTTGATGGCTAGGTAGCTATTTTGTATACTAGTGGAAACTGGCCAATCAGAAACAAAGGATTTGAATGTCACTTAAGGATGAAATAGAAATATAGAACTTGAGGTTGTAGATTAACAAGTATTTCTAAAGAGACCTGAGTTCCAGGGCAAGCATTTAAAGTTAATTACATCCGAGTTTACATTCTTTTTTTCAGAAGTAAGAGGAGGCTTTCTTTCTGTAAATGCTTAGGGTCTCAGACACAAAGGGGCAGTTCACCCTGCCTTAAAGAGTCACTATGAATCAGAATTACTCTATGGCAGTGAGTGTGAATGATACATCAGAATTAATTAATATTTTCCTGGAATATTAGATTGAGAGCCATATTTAGGAATAGAAGAGGTTTTTGTGTATGGGATGTAACAAAGACCAAAGAGAAGATTTGGAAAACGGTGGCAAGAGTTCGGTATAGTGCAGTAAAGAACTGATTCAGGTGGCATTAAAAAAGGTAGAAGCTATAGAATTTATCCATTCCCATAGATCAAGCCAAAAGCATGAATCGGGGTCTTCTGAAAGGTTTCTTCAAATGTAGATTTCTAGGTCCTACCCTCGAAGTCTCTGATTCAGCAGATATTGGATAAGCCTCAAATATTTCATTTCTATCAAGTTCCTAGCTTTTGCTGCTGCTGCTGCTGCTGCTGCTGCTG